AGAGAAAGCCATAGGGAGAGGTTCATGGGAGGGTTCCAAGCTGAACACAGCAGTGAGCTCTGGCCAGCCTCTTGAAATATCACGGCAGAAAGCTGTCTGATTTAAGGAGTGAGACAGAGAGTATGTTGTTGTGGTCAGAACTTGGCTCAGAGGCCATGATCAGCTGTGCTTTGTAACAGTCACCACATAGGCATTGTTCAAGATCAGGCCCTATTATTCTACGAGCCCTAACTGCCTGCATTGCTGAGCCAGTTGCCTCAGGAAACACCAAGGCTTCTTTGAATCTACCTGCCCAAAGTCTGACTATGTTTTTCTCCTTACCTGGGTTGGCTCCAGGAAGGTAGGATGGACTCTTGTAGAACATTTCCCAAGAAGACAGAGTAAGTTGTTCCCATTCCCAACAGGAAATGGAGCTGAATGGTCAAAGTGAATGATCAGAGTGATGACCAACAGACAATATTACAAGAGCGAAACCAGGTCATGTTCTGAGTTGAAATAGGCAAGGCTGGGGTGACATGCTCAGGCTTATTCCTGTATTTCTGGCTGTGAGTGACAGCATTGCAGGGGAAGGGTGGGCCACACTGCATGACTTTTTAGAACATTCAAGACTCTATTATGGGTAGGGGGGCTTATTGGTGATGTATTATTTGGCGTGATGGTTTTGATTAGTTTTTGTGTTTCTGAAAGGAGACATTAGGGATATGTTATGGAGGTCTGGGAAGGGCAGAAAGATTGCATCTCCTCAGAAACAAGCAAGGGGATGTCCCAGCATATTTTATTGAGCCACTGCTCTGCTGTAGGCAGGGAAGAGAAGGTGGAGCCTGCCCTAGGCCTTCAGAAAGCTCCAAAGCAATAAGAACAAAGCAAAATCAACTAAGTTGAGACACAAGAGACACAGCAATGCTGGGGGTGCTCAGACAGAGTGAAGCTGCACCCCAATTTGAACAGGGTGGTTAGGGAAGGAGCTTCTCTGAGGATAAGAGGTTTACACTGGGACTCAACAAAGGCAAGTTAGGGCCAGGAGAGAGTACTGAAGAAGGCTCTGTGTTGGATCACTGTGGCTGAAGAGTAGACAAGATGCTTGCTTCAAGGTGGGATGGTGGCCATGCTGGTCCCTTAAGATATGCCGGCCTGGAACATGAGAATGTGACTTCATTCAGAAAAAGGGAAAGGGTTGTGGGAGATGTACTTCATGATCTCAGGTGAGAATATCTCAGACTACAAGGCCTGAAATCTTATGGTAAGAATCTTTTCAGGAGAAGAGAGGGTAGAGAGACCACATGAAAGGGGAAGTAGACAGTCTGTAAGCCAGGGAGGACAAAGGCCACCAGAGCCACTGGAAGTTAGGACAAATACAAGAGACACATTCTCTTTCAGGCATTCAAGGAGGAACCAACCATGTGGATACCCTTGATTTTGAATTTCTGGGTTTTTTCTTTCTTTCTTTTTTTTTTTTTTTTTGAGAAATCCCCATGGCAATTGGTTACTACCTGCCTATATGACCTTGGGCATGTCATCTAAGTGCTATGTGACTCAGTTTTATATCTGCACAGTGGGGGATAAAAAGGAAGCTTCTCCCACAGAACTGCCTGGCTAATTACTGACAGAGCCCATGTGTTCCACAATGCCTTAGGGAATTGATACATGGTAATTGTGGGTCCCGTTCACTAGACTTGTTATAAATGGCTGTATGTGAGACAAAAGGGTAACCGTGGGCATGGTCTGTGCCCTTGAGCAAGGCAGTAATGGAGGTAATATATATGGAGAGGGTAGAGGAGAATATAGCTTACAGGGGATCCAGGTTGAAATATGGGCATCATGGGAAGGTAGGCGGGGTTTTATCTGTCATTGCTTGTCACTGTAAACCCATGCCCAACATTCGTTAGACTCAATGCATCCTGTTGAAAAAGCATCTGTTAGTGGTGGCACATTCTTTAATCCCAGCACTTGGGAGACAGAGGCAGGAGGGTCTCTGTGAGCCGGAGGCCAGCCTGCTCTATAAAGCAAGTTCCAGGACAGACTCCAAAGCTATACAGAGAGACCCTGATTTGAAAAACAAAAACCAAAACAACAACAAACAAACAAAAAACAAAACAACAACAAAAGAAACACAGGCCTGGACAAGCCTGGAAGGAACATGAACAGTGTCCTTTTCTTCCCGGTATACTTTATCCCCAATCTCCCAACAGCCATCAGGCCAGCAGAGACTGGGCAAGAAGTCTTTGTCTAACACCAATGTGGAAAGACCCACAAGCCTGCAGCTTGTCTGTGTGGCTGCCTTCTCAATTCTCCCAATTCTCAGTGATAAAACACAGACAGGCCAACAAGACATAAAATTCATGATGGTGGCAGGGCTGGGGATGAGGGTCTTGGAACAAGTGGGACATGGTGGGTGCTGGTTGATAATGATGATAAATGAAAGAAAAACATTTATAAGCACTTTATCTTCTGGGGCCACTGGATCTGGAGGGATGGGTCTAGAGTCCCACCACATACAGCAGGGCAAGCCAGAGAGGGTACAGCACACAATTCTAAGAACAGGGGAGTCTTAAGGAGATTATCTTGCACAATGCCCTCTGGGTATCTCAGAGCGATGGGTCAAGATGCAGCTAGGTTTATGACAGGGAGCCAGCCCTGGTAGGAAGCCACATGGCTTTGGAAAGCCTCCTTTGCAGGTTGTCTCCTGCAGGGGATCTTAGCCGATACCATTGCAAGACAAAGGACAACACTGCTCTCTTAAAATAGTACCTCATCCATTTTTCCCAGCACTGGGAACACCGTTTGAGGTGAGCAGTCACCTAAATACAACCAAGCTTCCCAGCATGTCAGGACGGAGGGGAAGGTGAACATTTAGAGGCCCTGTGTGATGTTCACAGGGTACCACTTTATATGAATTGACATTCGTGATAAGTTGAAGAAGGCCAGTATCCATGAGCTCTAAACATGGAGCAACTATGACAGCCTTCCACAGTCATACAAGCCCTTCCCTCCATGTGCTGAGCTGTAATACAGCTCTATGAGGTAGAAGGACAAGGCAGGTAGCTCCTTCCTGGCCATTCTGCTAGTGTTAATGATGATAAGGACCACATATGAAATGCTGAAAGCTTTATCAGCATCCCCACACATTTTTACAATTTCTAGCAGGTGGGACAGTAAAAGCTGCCAGGTGCTATAGGGTTCGGAGCATGATTGGACTTGAAGATAGGTCTGTGCCAATTTTCACATTTGGCTCTTCCTCCTCTTACATGCCAGTGGCCTCTAATAGGGGAAACTAAGGCCTAGGGAACCAGAGAGTCTTCCTTGAGGTCAAAGGCCAATGACCATGACAGCTGGGGCCCAAACCTCAGCTCTATGAATCCAAACCCACACCTCTCCTTTGGGAGCCCAAGGCATTATTTTCAACTGAGCCATGTTAAAAAAAAATAGCCCACCCTCCAATCATTTCTCACCACTCAGCTGAAAGTTTTTAATCATCTCCCTCACTAGTAAGATGTCATCCAGGCTTTCAGTTAAGAAAGTCATTCCTAACAGGTTAAATACCTACTGTGTGCCAGACGCTCAGCTGCATCTAAATTGAAAAAAGAAATTTTGCACAATGCCATTTGTTACAGATCAATTGAAAAATACTGTTTGACAGCTGATGGGGAATGTACTTCTGTGTATGTTGAATAAAGTACTGTTTGGCCAATAAGGCAGCAAGTTAGATGGGACTAGGAGTCAAGGAGGATTCTGGGAAATGTAGTAAAGAAGTGGTCATCCAGGCAGGAAGTGACATAGCAGAGAGACTCATATTTAAGCAAGGACAAGCAGGAAGTGGTTCCTTTCCCCTTGTCTCTTCCTCCAGAGTCACCATGTGATCCCAGGATGAGGATGCCAAAGAAAAGGCATGCTAAATAAGATAAGTCTTATAAAATATATAGATTTATGATAATTAAGACTGAGGTAACAGATGAGAATCCTAGTCATTGGCCAAGCAGCATTTGTACCTAATAGAAGTCTCTGTGTATTATTTGGGGTCCTAACAGAGCGAGCAGAACTCAAGCGGGTGGTGGATTTATCATAACAGACAGCCACTCACTAAATTATGGATGTCAGCTCTCCTTATGAAGAGGGTTTCTAGCCTTGGTTGGCATCACTTGGATAGTTAAGGCATCAACTTCGTGGCCCACCCCCATGATTTAACTATGCATCCTGAGCAAAGGGAGTTTTTACAAACAAGAGGTATCTGCTAATTACTCATCATCATGACTTTGCTGTGGAAAATCATTTCATGTTTAGACACAATTTATCATTTGCTCACTCTCCAAACAGATGGAATCTGACTGAGGACATTCCAGAGAGAAAGCAGATGGTCAAAGGGAATGTTTAAAACTGGGAAAGCTCAGAGAAGGAGAAAATCTGTGGGGATGCAATTATTATAATGGAGCATAAAAATTTTTCCTTGAGTTTTTCAGAGCAAATGTCCTGGGGTGAACAGGAAGGGTTTTGGTGTATCATAGTCCATAAAAAGGAATTTAGAAAAACACATCAGGTTTTTTTCCTCTGTCAAGTAGATTTAGAAGGAAAAGAAGTGAAAACAGTTTAGCTGATCACACACTGAATCCATAGATAGTCCCAGACAGATGCTCAACCTGCTCCCAAATCTTGGAGCAGAGAGTTGAAGGCCAGCCTCTACTTTTTGAAGGTCTCCAGGCTTTCTGAGAATGACCCTCAACTAAGTAGACCATGATGGAAGCTAGACAGATTGTCATCTGTCTGTCCCAGGGAGTCTTTATACCACAGCCAAGCAAGGAATAATGAAGCCAACTTGCCCTGGGACTCTATTGTGTCCCCATGCTCAGAGAAAGCTCCAGCGAAGTTAAAAATGACACACCATACTCAAGGCCCTCAAATTTGACCCTACTCTATCCTGTTTCCCTTTATAATACAGTTCCTGGCATTAGAGGGAAAGAACCGAAGGATGGGATGCCCCTTGTAGTGAGGTGTGAGGGGAAACTTACGGGGGGTTGTCACATTTCCTCTGCCGAAATCGTGCTCCTGTCCCACATGTTCGGCTGCACATGCTCCAGGTGCCCCATGGACTCCAGTCCCCGTCCACATGTTCTGGGATGGGTGTCTTGCTCACGCACTCCCCAGCCCGGCACCACTGAAACACACAAAAGGGCCACACTCAGCAAAGCCACGTGTGCCCCAAAGGACTGATTCCCTCTTGGTGTCAAAATGCATTTTGAAGTTTCCCTGGAAGTGGAGTATTTTAGGGTGTGCACGTTTGCTAACACTTGGTCAGCTGGGTGCCTGGTGATGTCCCTGGTGTTTGGAGCGTGCCACAACTTTATCCAGGAAATGTGCTCTACAGAGATTTTCTAAATTCTCAGGAAGAGGACTGATCCACGTGGCATGAGAACAGAACGAGGGTGTGTAAACGATGAATAATGCATGTGTATTTCTCTCCAGAAGACAATGTTTACAGGATCTGAGGCCAGGGCTTCAGGGTTGCATTTAGTTCTTAGAAATGACAAAGCCAGGTGTGGTCATGCTTCTAAACCCAGCACATGGGAAGCCACCGAGACAGGAGCAGCACCACAAATGGGAAGCCAGCCAGCCAGTCAGATTGGTGGTGATGGTGGTGGGATAGTTCGTTGGTTCTTTCTGAGAATAAAGAAAGCCAGTCTCTAAAACAGATTTCACAAAGTGTGTGACCCCATGCTTCCCAAGCATGGCATTAGAGCAAATAGTACATCCTAGAAAAAAAAAAAAAAAAGCTCTTTCAAGACTTATAGTAATCTAGGCATGGTGGTAAAAGGGCCTGAAACTCCAGCATTTGTGAGGTGAAGGCCTTGAAAGATCACATGTTTAAAGTCAGCCTGGGCTACACAGCATGTTCCAGGGCAGCCTGGGCTATATATGGAGGTTCTATCTCAAGAGGGACAAAAAAAAGAAGAGCAGGAGAAAAAGACAGGAGATGTGGAGGAAAGGAGAAGGGTGGAGGAGGTGAAGAGGGAGGGAAAAGGAGAAGAGAAGGAGGGGATTGGGAGGAGGGCGCATAGAGGGCTAAGAGGGAGGAGGGTAAAGGAAACAACAAACCAACCAAGGCCAGACTTGCAAGTAAGACTAAAGAGAAAGTTGTGTGGCTGCAGGTCCTGCCTACTCCCTCAAACCCTTGTAGTCTACCCCCTTCATAAGGACCAGCTCAATGTCTAAAATTTAAATAGAATCTGACAACATGATTCTCATCAATGTAAGGCAAGTGAACTGGCTTTCTGTTTAATACCTATTCATTAGAAACCTTCCCTTTAAGAAAATTCACTTGTGTAACAAAAGAGTTCATTTAATAAAAAAAAAAATCAAGAAAATGATTCATTCTTTCGGATTTGTAAGAAACAAAGGTGCTGCAGACACACGTGTGTGCAGTGGGCTCCATGGGCATTATTACTGTGATCAGGGCTGTTGCTGAGGATCCTAAGCAGAGTACACACTGCCTTCCCCAAGGAGAGAAGACCTGTGTCCAGGAGGTGTGAGGCTGCCTGCCAAGGCTGCTAGAAGCTGGGTGTTACCTTGTCTGCCCCACACTCCGTGCCATCCAGGGGAGGGTCCAGCTTGGTCTTGCAGGATGTATCGCCCTCTACCAGGCACCACAGCCCAGCACACATCAGATGCTGTGGGACAAAAGAAGCCACCGTAAGTGCCTCAAGAGCACACCCAGATGCAGGTCACAGCTGGGGTCAAGCCATGGAGCAATTACCATGCAGATTTGGGATTTGAAACACATGGGGAGAAAGAAGAGTTGAGTCTGGGAATTTAAAATGTTGACTGGCTTCTTCTGCACAGTGGAATTCTTGCATTTACTCCTTGGTGGGTTTGTCTCAGCGGACTGAGTTCAGGAGTTCCAAACTCACGCAATTCTGGGAGGTGCCTCCCAGGAGTGACTAGTAAATAGATCCTTTCCATTTAGTGCAAGTGATGAAGCAGATGGCCATGGGCTGACAAAGCATCCAAGAGACAGTCCTAGCCTAACTCCACCAGAGGCAGCTCCGTGGCAAGGGTCCCAGGTGAGTGTGTTGGACAGTGAATGAGGTGGGGGTTTAAACCCCTCTCATGGGTACGGAGGTAGCCTTCTATTCTCCCGGCCTGGCTTGTACCTCTGCTGAGTTGGGCATAAATTATTACAGTACTTTACCTAGAAAAACTTGGAACACCCACAAACAGTATTAAAGCAATTCTACTAAGACAGGAATAGGCATCTAAAAAGACAGACTCCCAACTGTAATTAATAAGACGTTTGGACACTGACAGAGTGTTCAGAATGAGACAAATTATCAAAATTACCAAGGCAGGCACAGTTATTCTTCTTCCTCAGGGGACTTGTGAGCCAACAGGAGCATCAAACATAGAGATGGGGGCTAACTGAGCCTGTTCCACCGGGGGAGGGATTCTGAGCTACATTCTACATGTTGCTCGGGGGTCCTAGTGGGACAGTCCCATTGCCCAAGGCCATTGATGAGTTACACCCATCAGTGTACCTTTCTGCACTTCTCTCCCTGTAGATGGCCCCTCACAGTATTTCCTGGGATTGCTTCCCACATAAACTACTTGCACCCAAATCCTCACCATGATCATGGCCTGAAAATTGGAAACAGATGTTCCTACAGCACTTTTAAAGACACAGTGCTTCCAGGATGCCAGACCCAATTGAGGCTAAGAAGCTTGAGCTCTGATGGGAAGACAGTACCCTCCACTGTGTAGCCGGTGGATAGCTGGTGCCCTTCAGGCAACATGAGGGATCCCCTGAAACATGGCACAGTGAGGTGACAGTGAGGTTTGTAAAGGGTGTGCTGTGCTCAGTTTAGAAGTCTGCTGTTCCAAGCAATATCAAACATCTGCACAGAGCAGATGTGCGACTGCCGTCTGAAGTAAAGAAACGTGTGGAGATTGGAGGGACAAAAATAAAGGAGAAAGGAAGGAAAGCAGAGGGGAGGGGGCTCTTGCAACAGGCTAAGAAAAGCTCACAGCTCCTTCTCACTTTTCAAGTGTGTGGGAGCTGGTCTGAAGCTTGAAACTGGTCAGGGACTGAAGTAGGATGCTGCTTCATAGGTCCAGAAAAGCCTGCAGGTTCCCGTTATCCCGTTACTGTTTACCTCTCCATGGAGCGGTAAAAAGATGAGAACCTGGAGCGCAGCACAGCTGCTCCCATAAAGATGACTGCACCTCATTAAATGTTTGATTCCTTGCACTTTCACCTAAGACTTCTTCCAGACTGTTGCAGCGACGTTCAGACACGTGGTCACAAGGCAAGGCAGACCCAGGAGCACAATTAGGGGCAGGAGTGCTTGGGGTCAGGAGAAATAATGGCCACATTAGGAGAGAGAGGAAGGAGGTGGGGTGGACTGTTTATTGGGCATTTTATGGACATAGCTCTCTCATGAAACTTCCCTAATTATCAAAGCCAAAGAGTGGGAGGTTAGGTGGAACCTTCTTAAACATGACACAAAAGTACTAACAATGAAGGAGAAAAAATACAAATGAATTATACTTCATTAAAATGAAATTTATTAAAAGACAAGTATGCTGGGCATTGGTGGCACACGCCTTTAATCCCAGCACTCGGGAGGCAGAGGCAGACGGATCTCTGTGAGTTCGAGGCCAGCCTGGTCTCCAGAGCGAGTGCCAGGACAGGCTCCAAAGCTACACAGAGAAACCCTGTCTTGGAAAACAAAAACAACAACAACAACAAAGGCAAGTATAAAAATATGAGAGAAGGTATTTGCAATATATGGGGGAGGTATTAGCAATGCATATAACCAACAAAGTGTATCTAGCACACTTAAAAAAAAAAAGAAAAAGAAAACAGAAGCCAAAACTACTAACGATCAAGTAAGAAAAAAGCCTCAGGGGAAAATGGGCAGAAGACTTGAGTATTTCATAAGATGATATTTAGATGGCAATTAAGCATATGAAAATATGCAGAAACCTCTCTGTCTCTGTCTTTCTCTCTCTCTCTCTCTCTCTCTCTCTGTCTCTCTCTCTCTCTGTGTGTCTTTCTCTCTCTCTCCGTGTTGTGTGTGTGTGTGTGTGTGTGTGTGTGGAATGATGGAGGACACCTAGAGAAGCATCACAGCCACCCCACTGGATTCTTAGTATTTAGTTTCTCACAGGCACTTTCTATTTAACTTCTAAGGCGCAGCCAACACCAACATCTTTATAGCATTTAGGAATATGAGAAGGGAAGATGTCACCCTATATTTTTTTTTAACACTAATCAATGTAACACTGGCACCAAACAGAATAAGCATTAAGAAAAAAATTAAGTTTCAACTCATTTGTGAATAATTGTCACAAAGACTCAAAATACAATTTGCCAGCACGTTCAAATAAATTATACCAAGACCAAGTACAATTTACTTCAGGATTCAGATAGCTAAGTGTTAGAAAACGGGCTAACAAAATTCCCCATATTTCTAACACAAAAGTGAGATGTGGGGGCTGGAAAGATGGCTCAGAGATCAGGAGTATTGGCTGTTCTTGAAGAGAAGCTGGGTTTGGTTCCCAGCACCCACACAGAAGCTCACTATAGCCTATAACTCCAGTTCCATGGGATCTGATGCCCTCTTTGGGTCTCCATGGACACCAGGCAGGAATGTGGTGCCTGTGACATACAAACAGACAAAACACTCATGCACATAAAAAGTTATTTTTAAAAAATGAGAAGTTATTTGTTCTCCCCATGGATAATAAAAAAGACATCTAATAAAATCCAATTGTGATTCTTATGAAATGCTCAATAAGATTTAAACAAATACATACTTTTTAAACTTGATAACTACCCATCTCATGAGGGAACATTAGACACATTCCCCAAAAAGTCAAGAAGGAAGGAACAGCCAATTGTTGTTTTAGATCAGAGAGGATATTTGTGGACAGGCAAAAGGAATCATGGAAGTAGAAAATGAAGTTACTCAATTAGAATATGTCCGGCATACAAGCAGTTCAGTTAAGGAGATGGCTGTACCCCTCTGTAATATGAGACATAATCAATTCAGTGATACAATGGGAGAAAAGGCCTTGTTTAAAAAAGGAACAGAAGTACTTTGTGGAAGTAAATGTAAGAGGAAACCTGTAAGATCTATTCACAGACAAATGAAAAGTTCTCTGAGGGTGGGTTGGGAAGATATCTTGAAGTCCTGTAAAGGAACATGACGTTACTGCAGATGACTCAGAGTCATGGATGAGGACATACTTTCCCCTAAGTTAATTTACAAAAGAATGAAATTGAATTTGACACAACCACACAACCTCCAACTAAGTGAGAATATTCTGAAGACCACATGGGGAAATAAACAAGGAATAATTCACCAACAAAACTGTAGAAAAGCACATGCTCAATGCATTCAACTATTTTATAAAGCTATGGTTATGTAAACATTAAGTGCATGATGTGATTAGTTGGAACAGACTGGAAAATCCAGAAATAAAGAATAAGGCATGGAGTTTGGAGACAGTGGTTAAGAACACTTCCTGTTCTTGCACAGGTTCTGGGTTCGAATCCCAGCCCCCACACTAGGTTACTCCTTTTTCAAGGACCAACACCCTCTTTTGGCTTCCACAAACACCTGCACACTCGTGCACTTACAGATATACTCAGGCGCGCACACACATCTGTACATTTATGTTAAGGAATTTAACGTAAATTCATAAACATAAAAGAAGAAGCCACAGAAGTAAATATATTTATAGTTTAGGAGTGGAAAGACCACTTGGAGCATGGGACAAACTCCAAGATTAAAAGAGAGAGAGAGAGAGAGAGAGAGAGAGAGAGAGAGAGAGAGGAAGATAGTTTACCTCATATACAAGAGCATAAAACAGTAAAAAAGGAAAAGAAAAAGAAAATACTAAGCTGGAAAAAGGCTCAAAAGTTGTTCTCTCAGCTAAAGGTCCATTTTCTTTCATAGGTAAAATCTCTAAAAGCCAGTTTCTAAACATCTCAGTGACACAATGTAACAAAATTTAAAAAAATAGTCCATGGAAAAGAAAATGCACTGATTTTTCAATATACAGCTAAACACTCAAACTCATTAATATAAGAAATTGAGTTTCACTTGCAATTTGAAATGAAATACTCAAGATGGACAAAGACGAGAAAAGTGGGGTGTCAGGGCTGGAGAGATGGCTCAGTAGTAAGAGCACTGGCTTCTATTCCAGAGGACCCAGGTTCCTCACACCTGTCTATAACTCTAGTTCCAAGAGACCCAACACCCTCACACAGACACACATGAAGGCAAAACACCAATGCCCATGAAATATAGGTAATACATAAATAAATAATGATATATTTAAAAAGATGGAATGAAGGCGAGGGGAAGGCAAATAAAAGCCTCTTTGAAGATCTATAACTGACATGTACTCTTGGTGTTATATAAAATTCAAAGACAGGCAGAACAGCCTGAGGGGCCACAGTGTACAAAGACGGTGGGCACTCCTCGGGGAGGGAGTAGAAAGTAACAAAGTAACAAAAATACCCCCAGTAACAAAGGCCATTCTGGATGACTCAACATGCCAGGATTCCTTGTGCCGGCCATACTTGTACAATTAGTGAAAAACCAATGTAACCGCACTTATGATCTGTGTACTTTCCTGTGCATCTCGTGTAGTGTTCTAGGTA